TGGTTGACTGACCAAACCCCAAGGGTGCTCAGCAATGGCTCCTCTTCATCCTGGAGAGAAGTGACCAGTGGGGTGCCACAGGGGTCTGCCTTGGGTCCAGTGCTATTCAACATCTTTATCAATGACTTGGATGAAAGAATAGGGATCATGCTTCTCAAATTTGCAAATGACACCAAATTCAGAGGAATAGCTAATACCCCAAAGACAGGATGAAAATTCAAAATGATCTTAATAGATTAGAAAGCTGGGCCAAAACTAACAAAATTTCAGCACGGAGAAATGTAAGGTACTGCACTTAGGCAAAAAAATGAAATGCATAGATATAAGATGGGGGACATCTGGCTTAATGAGACTATGCCTCATTATCTAGGAGTCCTAGTAGACCAAAAGTTGAACATGAGTCAACAGTGTGATGCAGCAGCTAAAAATGTCAGTGTGATTTTAGGCTGCATCATTAGAAGTATAGTATCTAGATCAAGGGAACTAATGTTGCAACTGTATTCTGCTTTGATCAGGCCCCACCTGAAATACTGTGTCCAGTTCTGGGCACCACAATTCGAAAAGGATGCTGAGAAACTGAGCGTGTCCAGAGGAGGGTGGCTAAAATGGTGAAGGGTCTGGAAACCATGCCCTATGAGGAATGACTTAGAGAACTGGGCATGTTTAGCCTGGAGAAGAGAAGGTTAAGAGGTCATATGATAACCCTGTTTTATATTTGAAGGGATGTCATATTCAGGAGGGTGCTAGATTGTTTTCTACTGCTCCAGAGAACAGGACCGGGAGTAATGGATGAAAGCTACAGGAAAAGAGATTCCACCTAAACATTAGGGGGAACTTCCTGACAGTAAGGGCTGTTCGACAGTGGAACACACTCCCTCGGAGAGTAGTGGAGTCTCCTTCCTTGGAGGTCTTTAAACAGAGGCCAGATGGCCATCTGTCAGGGATGCTTTGATTTTGAGTTTCTACATGGCAGGGGGTTGGACTGGATGACCCTTGTGGTCTCTTCCAATTTTATGATTCTATGATTCTATATATGACAGAAACTGGTCCTCCCCCCACCATTAAGTATGAATATCTTATGATCAAACTAGATATTAAAAGAAATGGGTATTCCCTATGATTAACCTGTTTCCCTTTTGACAATGGAATTTCCTCAGAGATGGTTCTTCAGTAATCAGATTGGTAAAATAAACTTGTTTTTACCCTCTCGTGTGGGACAAAGCATGCTAAATGCAAGACATATAGGTGAGGAAAATCACATGCTATGATAAACAATTATCTTTCACTGGTGGTGGGGGGGAGTACATTTCCAAAAAAAACCCCATAATAAATATATTGCCTAGTTGGACAGTCATCTTATCTAGTACAGAAGAAGTCCATGGTAGCAAGGTTAAATACCAACCTTCTCCACTGCATCCCTGTCTGTAGCATACCAACCTTCTCCATTGCATCTCCACTGTAGCATTATTGATACCTACATGGGAAAATAAACTTCTGTAGCAGAGAGCTGATTTGATTTAGGAGACTTTGTGTGATACAGAATCCTGGAAGATGTGGGTTTCATAAGCAACTCTGGTTTTCCACTGATAAAGGCAGAGATGGGTATGGGGATAGAATAGAGGTGAGGATAGGATTGAACAAGCACTCTCCCATACGTAATAGGTCTGTTGTCAGTGAGCAGAGAAGGCAATTCACCCACAAACCTTGGAGGCTAAGAACAGTACCACAGTTTTGACACAGAATATGATATCTCTTTAGCTTCTGATGATATTGTTCTCTCTGATGACACTGAAGCACCTCCCTTGAATTTTCCTCCTCTACAGTTCTCTAAAACAACACAGAGTTTTGTAGCACTGGACATAAATTTTATTCGGCATAAGTTTTTGTGGACTCTAGCCTGTTTGGATGCATCAGGTGCATTTTATAAATTAGGCTGAAGTCCTCAGAAACATATGATCACTTGAATCTGGTTTGGCTTTAAGTTGCAACTCTTTTGTTTGTTCTGCAGCAGACTAGCATACTACTCCTCTCTATCTCTCATTATCCTATATTGAGTTCAATCCTAACCTAAGAAGTAATCTACCTCATTCCATGTCAAGATCTTTCTCTGTCTCACATCCACTGTTAAAAGTGAGATTTGTCTTAAGATTCAGAGTCCATATCTGGTCATACATGTTGTTTTACTTTAAGAATTTTTTAGAGTTAAAATTCAAGCATGTGGGTCTTCCCAGCTATTTAAGACCTCTTTTGAAAGCTGACCTTTCGAGTAGAATGTAATTATTTTTCTTCATCTGAGCTTTGTTCATACTGCAGGAATAATCCAGTTTGACACCACTTTAACTGCCAAGGCTCAATGCTGTGGAATCCTGGGAACTGTAGTTTGTCATAGTGCCAGAGCTCTCTGACACAGAAGGCTAAATATCTCAGAAAACTACAATCCCTAGAATTCCATAGCATTGAACTATGACAGTTAAGGTGGTGTCAAATTGGATTATTTCTGCAGTGTGGATGCAGCCTGGTCTTCTGCTTCAAACAACAATTTTCTAAGTAACCAACAAGGTTGAAATAATGAAATCACATTTCTTCAGCTGCCATCACACTAGAATATGCTGCTTTACCATGGAGTTATCCAGTGCCTCAGTTAAGTTCCTTCTGTCCTGACATTAAGCCTTCTTTGCCAGAGAGCTCTAATGCCACAATAAACTACAGTTCCCATGATTCCTTAGCACTGAGCCAGGACAGTTAAAGTGGCCTCAATTTGCACTATTTCTGGCAATCTGTAAAGGCCCTTAGACCGTGATGGAGAAAAGATCTGTGTGAGTAGGGATGGATGCTTCAGCTGGAGTGTCTTCTTTCAGTATGACCATGATTCCCAAACCTAATTTCCTGCTCTCATCAAGAATATTATTTTCCTGTGTTTGATTTCATGGCAAGTGATCCCAGGAACATTGAATTACTCCAGATTGACATCATGGATGATAAAAGGAATAGAAAGAGGAAGAAAGGGAAGACAAAAAAGAAGATTGCACCTTGGCTCTGGCAAGCACTGGAGAGGACATAATATGCAAAAGGATCTTGTTGCACCTTTGAGACTACTTAAACAAAGAAGCTGGTAGCACAAGCTTTTGTAGGCTCAAGTCTATGAAAGCTTATGCTACCAGTTTCTTTCTTTCAGTTAGTCTCAAAGTTGCTGCAAAATCCTTTTGCACACTGATTTTCCAGACTAGTACACCTTTGTCTTTGGAGAGGATATATATAGAGAGTATTCATTATCCCACTACTATACCAATAGCAATCTCTAAGTGAGGAGATTCATAGATTTACATAAGGCAAGAGTAGAGATGTAAAGAATATTTATAATTATCAGTTCAAAAATGGTTTTCCAACAGCCAGGAAATCATGTGAGGAAGAATAATAGACTCAAGACTTTTTTTGCAGTTTACTCCTGGTATTCAAACATTGCAAAGTGTTATTGGAATCATTCTGCAGAAAAAAATGTGTGGTTTTGTGCAAAATCTGGTGTTTTCTGCACAGAAAATGGGTTTCCTGCATGTTCAGCACTGTCTCTATTGAATAACTTCCCCACAACATTGTGGGACATTTGAATACAGGCAGAATACTATGAAGAACATTTATTTTCTCCCACAGGAGGTGGGGGAACTACTGTGATTATTCAATCTCACATACAGGGACAAAACATGCAAAAGATTTACATTCCAAGGCAGGAGTCATCAGCAGATTCACAACTTTAACATGTGTATGTGTGTGGTGGGGGAGAATAATTATTTCTGAAATTTCTCTGATTTTGGTAATTCATATTCTGGTATGAATCAAGACTAGACTTTAATGTGTTCTAGTGACACTTAAAATGTGTTTTCCTTATAATATTTGCCCTTTTCAAAAGCTATGTGAGTGTTCTAGAACAATCCAACACTATTAAAGACAAGTGCATAAACTCTGCATCTCCTTTAGATGTTGGGCAATTCCACAAAATGGTTCCAGTGATGGATCATAACACTTAAATCACCTTCTGAGGCAATTTTGGAAATTCTGTAATATTTGTAAATAAGAAAATGACATTGACCCCCCCCCCCCCATTTTCATATTGATGGGGTTGCCACAAAACTTCCAAATACAGCATTATGAAGACAGCAGAATATTAAGCATTTATTGAACCTGAATGTAGCAATGGTAAAAAGCTGTGTGCTCACCATTGTCTTGGACAGATGGTTAGTTTACATCATGTATCTTCTTCTTCTTCTTCTTCTTCTTTTTTTTTTACTGCTGCTGAAATCCCAATTACATACATTGGTTATATCAGTCCACTTTCCCTGAGCTACCCATTCCTGCAGGCATTCATATATCATTCTTAGGATCTGTCATCCCATTGCAATTAATGGCATGAATTCCTGAGAGTTACAGCCTTGTCTGTTCTGTATGCCTTGGGCAACCAGCTGTACTCAGCACTCTGACTGACTTTCAGGAGAATAGTAATTTTAAGCCCCCCTCTTCTTTTCATTTCTTTTCATCTAGAAATTGGAAGGAACACATTACTAGTAACACCAACACCATTAGCTCATTACTGGGGTGGGGGAGTCATGAGAACATAATGGCAATATATTGCCATATAATGTAATGTCTGATACAGCAATTATATTTTTAGTGTAATAAGTAATGCTTAATGTCGTAAGCTGTTCCGGTTGTGTTGTGCAGAGGGGCGGGATAAAAATAAATTTTATTATTATTATTTATTACTCATTGCTTCTAAAATGCTTGGGCTTCTGAGGGTCATTTGTGGAGTATTGTCTATTACTGGCCATTTTTTTTAACATTCAAAATTAAAAGTAACTAAAATGTAATGTCTTCTTGTTCTTGTTATGTGCCTTCAAGTCATTTTCAAGGTATGGTGACCTTATCATTGCAAGGTTCTTCAGAGCAGGTTTGTCATTCTCTGAGGTTGAGAATGTGTGACTTACCCAAGATCACCCAGCAGATTTACTTGACTGAGCTGGGATTTGAACCCTGGTCTCCAGAGCCATCATCCAACACTCAAACCATTATACCACACAGGGTCCTAATGACATATTACTATTAGAGCAATATGTAATGTGTTACTACATAAGACTAATACAATATTTTTCAAACAATAATGCTCTAAGCTCTGGCTCCTTTTTTGATATGTAAGGGGAAACAATATCCTTCCACCACTACTCAAGCAGTGGTAATTTTGATACAGAAGTCTGAAAAAAAAATCCAATACTTAAATGGTTTTATTTTATTCAAAAGGGACATTTTTCTTGTGGGAGAGGCAAATGAGCATCTGATGCTCCAACTAAGAACAGAAATGAGTAGGTTCTGTAACATCCTTATACAAAAATCTATCAAGAAGCAAACAGAGAGCTGAAATACTTGTTCATTTGCTTATTAGTTTCCTAATCTGCCTTTTAGGATGCAATGCATTCCTAGAGAGGCTTACATATTTCTTTAAATCTACAACCTGATAAGAACACCAATGAGTAAAACAATATAAGCCATTCCTTCATTTCCTTCAATAATGAAAGCCAATTGCAGCTTAAACCTAAAGATGATACAAAAAACAATTTACATATGATAAAAAAAGAGAAAAGACAATATGAAACACTAAGCCACTTTTCATGTTTGTTTGCACGAGTATTGGAGTGATGCTTCTTTTTGTTGGTTAAGATGAAGGCTGAATGGCACTCTTCCTCACCCCATTTAGAAATGCTAAATGGACCTGAAGTTGGATCTTACTCTAACATTGACAGTCTTATGAGACAATTGAAATCAGGCTAGCTGGTGTGTGTGTTTGGATAGGATAGGAGTACAATGAATCTATAATAGGTTTAATTTCAATCTACTGTCCATGGTGCTGAACCCTATCTCCCAAACAGATTCGACCCCTAGCTCTTATAAAGTCTAAAATAAATTCCAGAGCAGATTTACCATATCACTGACAAAGAAATCTCTGGCTGTCCCTGAGTGTGAGTATCTGGAAGGAGTGGAGAGTTCTGTCTCTCAACTATCACTGAAACTAGCTCCACATCAGCTATTGCCTGCAGCCACTGCTTCTTTCTGTCTAATGGTAGGGCCAGTCTTACTTTTGAGGATACATTCACACTGTTTTGATGTCTGCCTCCCCATTTCTTTTCTTTGCCATTCAGTGCTGCTAGCTATGTTGCTGTGCATGATTTTGTCAAGGATATTTTGGACAGAGAAGGAAAATCACATAGTTTATCCATGAAATTAAAACTGCAGTGTATAGACAAGAAAGGCCAAGGACTATGATGGTAAAAAAGAAGAAGGGAAGTTATGGTGGAAAGGAACCATCGCAGTTAGGGCAGTAATAGGACACTAAAATGATTGCATTGAGGCTTCATGAACTGTGTTATTTTTTTCCTATTTCCCTCCCAACTGCATCACATGAACTAATTTTGAAACAAATTGCACAATCAAAAAGTGTTCAGTACAGCTCAGAATAAAACATTACTGTTTCTCCTTAACATAATGTTTTCAGACTAATACTTTGGTCTAATTCCATTTCAGCATTGGTCCTCAAGGTCCTAAGACATAAGTGTTCCTAAGCATGTGCAGTAAAAACTATATAAGTATGTGTGGAGGAATGCTAGCCATTCTTCCTCCATCCCCCATATTATTACCCTCCTGCTCGTAGAGGGCAATGAATCTAAAGCAGAAAGCCTTCACTATTTGTTGATGCTCTCCATATGAGTCACAATCCTGGGAGATTATTACAAGGGAGGGATAGGGATGGGACGCTCCCCCATCCTTATCCTGTTCATGACCCGAGTGAAAGCAATTGAACAAATCACTTTCACACTGCAGCTGGCTGGAAAGTGCTTTCAGCCGTCATGATATTAATGGGTTCTTCCATTAATACAAAAGACTGCAAATGACAGCTGAAAGTGCTTTTCAGCTGGCTGCAGTGTGGAAGTGATTTGTGCACTCACTCTCACTCGTACTTCCCTGCTGGGTCAAGTACGGGTTAGGTGTGGGGTATGTGTGAATGTCCTTTCCACAATTGGAGCAGGAAGGATGGGACAGGGACAGGGACAGGACAAGAACATCCCATCCCTCATGTGGTAATCTCCCTTGTTTTTCCAGGATTCTGACTCATATGGTGTACCTTCATGGGTGGCAGAGGCTCTCTGCTTCAGATTCAGAGGCTTATTGCACAAGGCTATTCTCCCGCTACAGTGATGTCAACTGTAAAAATGCTATGCAATCGGAATTGCTCTCTTTCCTTTGTGCCTTTGGAACCATTCTGGGATTACAAAACCCATTTGTGCGAATTTTGTTTAAAGTGTGAGTAATTGTAAATGTAATATGGCAAATGGATAACAGGAAAATGTCTTACATCCAGGGGCTAGTGGCTTCCATGTCTGTGATGTAATGAATTTGTGCTGTATTTTAGTCTGTTTCTTAAAGGAGACAACATAGGTGCTTGGAATCCCAGACAGATGGCTATTGCCCCTTGTGTGCTCTCTGATCACTTTGAAATGAATATACTGAGGACTGGATCTATGACCTTCTGCACAGATTACAATGGTGACAATGTCAATTTGTGCAAAACCTTATCACACAGAGCATTTAGACTGCGCACCCACTACCTCCTCTATCCTTGCCCCTTTTCATTGTTTAGCACATATGCATGCAGACACATGGAGAGATGGACTCCATCCTCAGAAATATAAATGAAAAAAAAATCTTACCTTTAAAAAGGCCTCTTTTTCCTTGTGGTGGGGGGATTTTTTTAAAATGGTATAGATCAAACTTTCCAGACTTGCCCATCCGTTTTCATGGGGGATCCGTTCCAGACCCCTCCATGAAAATGGAAACCCACACATATTCAAGGCTTGATTGGAGGCACAATGGCATGTCGGGCATGGTGTGGGTGCCCCCCCCCACTGTTTGCCCCTCCGTTTGTCACTCACGCATAAGTGAGGGACGTGGATCCAAAGTCCATGAAAATGGAGGGGTGACTATAATCACTGACAGATGAAACTCAGCAGCTATTGCCCAATCTGTCTAATCTATCTCTGGCTTTCATGTGGCAGTGATTAGTATGCCTGAAGGAAGAGGCAGAGGGTTAAAACTACAAGTGTGTGTGTGTGTGTGTTTGAGAGAGAGAGATGGGGGGAGGGAGAGGACATTAGCACACCAGTTCAGGAGTCTCACTATCACTACTTCTTTTCTTTTTTGGAATTTCATTTTTTCTTGACTACAGCAAAAAACATATTTAACATACCTCACTAACAATCTTGCTTCTTTCTCAGCCACTGTTGCTCAAATCACTAATATCTTATTCATCTTACTCTGCCATTTATTTACTAGAAGAATTCTAGAATATTGTTGTCCAGTCAATGAATTAGTACCTAGCCTTTATCTTGTGGTTCACCTCTCTGTTATGTATGCAGTTGGGATTCTGGGTTAGCAGAGATTATAATGCCATCTACTACCTGCCTTGGGATTCTCTTGTTCTCTCTGAGTTTAGCTGCAATCTGCACAGAAGCTTGTGAGAGGGCTGATTTCTCCAGCAACAATATATTGCTGTAAGACCAACTGTATTTTGGGATGGCATGATCTCGAGTGGGGAGTTAAGACCTACTAGTTCCTGTTAGAAATCTGGATCTTGTTGGTACTAGCACATCCATTATTTCCAGGGCTGCACAGCAGTGGTGAGACAAAATGAGTTGACTCCAAGCAGTCTGTTTCTCCACTGTGTTATTTCCATCATGAGTGCTTGCATCCTGAGCCTTTTTCTTCCCCATACTAACAGAGGTGTATAGAAAGAGCTTGGAAATAAGTTGTTACAAATGATTATTATGATGATGGTCATTTATATCCTACTGTTTGCCCAATAATGGGACTCAAGGTGGCTTCTAAATTGTTACAACAGGTACAGATTAAAAATTTACAAAACATCAGCTATATTATGTGTGTATGTGTGTGTGCGGGCACATGCTCATAATTCTATAGATTGTGTGGGTATGTATATATACAATCTATAGAATTAAATCCATTTAAAATTCATTAAAAATAGAATATAAATAAATCAACAAAATAGAAATAAATCAACAAAATAAAATATAAATAAATCAACAAAATTAAAGTCCATCATAGTCAATCCCTCAAATTCCTCAAGCATTACATAATATTTTTGCTTCTTACTTGTGGAAGAAGAGTAAGGAGGGAGCCTTTCTATGGCTTTTTAAAGTCTGGCAGCAGACACTAAGAAGGCCCTATCCCTTCTTCCCACCCAGCTTGCCTGAGAAAGTAGTGGGATAGGGAGGGTGGGGGGCTCTTCAAATCACCTAGATCTGAACCATACAGGGCTTTTAAAGATCTTAATCAGCACTTTGAGCTGTGCCTGGAAATGGACCAGCAGTCAATGAAGTGGCTGAAAAATAACAAATAACAGTAAATTTGCCTAAAATGGCATAAAGGAATTCAATAGCATCTTTGACACTAACTAGAAAAGAGAAATATCTGTTGTAAGCTTTCATGAGCTCACTCTATTTCATCTGGTGCAGTAACCAAAGCATTACAGTATGATCTCCATATCTGTGGGGGATATGTTCTCAGCTTACCATGAATAGCAAAAATTGCAGATATTGGTGAAGCATATATTTGAGTAATAAGTTGACCATAGATTCATGCAGGAGGACCTCCAGATGCCTAAACTGACCTTTGTTTCCTGTACACAGGTAAGTGAAACTGTGGTTACCAGTCCTGCAGATACAGCAGTCGTACTATACTAAACTTACTTTATTGTAATATAATGAGAGGTATTTCTTTTTCTCTCTGTGTGGTGCAATAATTGTTTTTAATTCTTTTTACAGGCAAGTAATATTCTGATGTTGCTTAAAGTAACAAAAAGTAACTACTTTAGATCCTTTTGAATAAAGAATATACATTGTTTTTTAAAAAAGCCATCACTTTAATGGTAATTCTTGCTTTTTTGGAAGTGGTAATGGAAGAAGTTACTTTGAAAATGTAACTTTCTAAACTCTGGATATAGATCAGCACAGCTGCC